CTCAACTGTTGCATTGTTTCCCCCTTTGACCTCCTGCTCCTACGCTCTCAAGTTCTCCAACTCCATATCTGCGACTTGTACCCGTTGCCGTCGATCCTTCGCTTTCCCTCTTCCAGTACTTTTCATCTTCAACCCCATCTCGTACTTGAACCGCTTCCACCTAGTTTTTCGGATCTCTGACGGCCTGACACTGCCTGATAGTCGCACTTGCGTCTTCTTGGATGATGTTGGTTGCGTCGTCTTAACAGATGGTCTCTGTGCTGCCTCCATGGTCTGCTGATCAGCCGCATCGTATTCGATAGCCATGGGGCTGACGGCCAGCAGTGAGATGAACAGGGATGCGAAGCGACTTTGTTGCTTTGTAGCTGTTACTGAACTCGTAGAATCTGAGGTCGTTCGCTTGTTTGAGGTTGTTGATCTGGTTTTGAACGTGGTATGGTGCTTCGACGTCGTTTCATTCCATGTCCGCGACTTGAACACGACGCCCGATCTTGATGCGCTTGTTCTGCGTTTGTGTAGTGTTGTCTGTGTCAAGGCGCGCTGATCTCTAAATTTGCCTGATGGCGACGAGCTGCTGGTCATTTCTGATGCTCGTATGGATACTGGACGTACTGCGGCCATGTTGGTCTTGGTTGCGGAGTAGGATGCCTGACTTGGAGAGCAGTTGTGTCAGGGAAGACAGACGAATAGAGTTGATAGTAGCGATAGCAATCGAGAACGAGATTAGAACTGTATGAGTTTAGAAACGCGCTTCAAGAATGCGCTCAGATGTCAGTAAGCTGTAGCTTGATCGCCGACTCCACGCGACAGGCCATCATGCTGTCTCATAAACCTTTCCAACTAGATAGCATCTTTCGTTTAGTACTTTACCAGGCGTCCAGTCAGACAGTAACGAAATGAGAATTTCCTGATTCGGTAGCTTGGGGCTGAACATCCCTGTCTAAGAGGATCAGCCCTGCGTAAGCAAGACATAGCTAAGGTGTGAAGGCGGACGGAGTTTAGCCCATCTCATGTTCATAGGAGCTGCTTCATCTAAGAAGCGTCTTGTGTGATGGCCAAGCGACGCCTCATGTCATGATTGAGAGCGCAAAAATAGATTGTGGCTTCAGCTGTGCCGCGCGCTTTATGTTACATAGCTAGGCCTACCGATAGAGAAGCTCAACGGAGCTTTTAAAGACATTCATAACCCGCGCTCTGCGATGCGAAAGTATCGTATGCGTCAAGCAAACGCGACCGCCAGGAGGAAGGTGCACATCAAGGTAGGGCAATCAAGCCGACGCGTATATCTGGGACATAGCGACCTAGTAACGCGAACGCGCTGCAAAGAATGGGATTACACAGAAAAGGGTTCAAAAGCTACTGTCTATAGAATTCAACGTTAACGGCCACCGGCACGCCGGACAACCCATCCCCTACCCCGTCAAAACCCGCGTACCTCAGCCCCCGACCCGAAACGATCGCCTAGCGTAAATCTCACTTAGTAGACCATTGCGTCATGACTTTTTCGCATCGAACAAATGCCATCACCAGTATCGATCAACACCCAAATTGCGTAACCCAGACCACATTAGACCACTTTGTAACCATCTATCTCATAATGACGCAGTGCCAAAAACATGTGGTTGGCTAAAGCAGACAATAAGAAAACGCCTCATGTGCAGTACATAGCCAGAATACATGCCTATAATAACCGTTCCATCCAACTTGCTCTAAAACCTCTACAATGCTATCTTACATCCGTCCATTCGCAACACAAACCACAAACCAAACCTTACGTACCATTTCCAAACCGACCTTCACATCCAGCATATCAAAAATCACAGCCGCAAAAATGTCCACCGGAAACCTCAACATCGAAACCAAAGACGTGAAAACCGCCCCAGGCATCAAGCTCTCAGAAGAACAAAACAAAATCGTAGGCTCCGTCCTCGACCTCTTCGCCGGCCGCCCGTCCCTTCCTAAACTGCGTCTATGGCGTGACGACGCTACTTTCACAGACCCCATTACCATCGCCGAGGGCCGCGACAAGTACTCGGCACAATGGTATGGACTGCAATCGGCATTCAGCGAGATTGAGCGCTTGAACCACCAGGTCAAGGATGCGGGGAACCCTATTCTGATGGATTTGAGGACAAGATATGTCATCAAGGGACTGGGTAAGGAGCAGTTGATTCAGAGTGAGGTGGCTATCCATTTGGATGCAGAGGGCAAGATTGCAAAGGTTGAGGATAAGTGGGATGGCAAGTTGCCGGATAGCAGTATTGCTAACGTAAGTTCACTCCACATGGAGTTCTTGTTGGGGATAGTTATGCTAACGTTTTGTACAGGCTTTCCGACACTTGAATGCTGTTACTGTGCCCAAGTTTGTTGGGGTACCGAAGAACGATGAGGAGGACAGGGAGAGGGGAAACCAGTAGTTATATCCTTGTGTAAATCGAGTAGTCTAGCGCCAAGTACATTAACGTACTGCGTAAACTCGTAATTCGTAAATTCATTACAATATGTATCATGTCTTTTATCGTGCTCTTTTTTACATCGCTCCTCTCCTCATGCGCCATGGAACATCCTGCCCAAGGCTAGGTGTAGGAACAGTCCAACTACGCCAGCGCCTACACCCAGCACTTTCAGACTCGGTGCTCCTGCAACGATCAATATTGTGCCGCATCCTCCTTGCTCCGCTCTGGGTAGATCAGGTCCGTCCATTGTGATTGTAGCGCAAAAGCCGCCTTGCACTGTAGCTGGGTTCTGGTATACGGTGGTTTGGGGAGGCGGTTGAGCGTACACGATTGCCGTTTGCTGCTGGGGGTACACAGTTACGGTCGTGACCTGTGCGACGTTTACCGCGCCTCCACATTGGTTTCCGCTTGGACAGCAGCCAATGAGTCCGTTGGAGTTACCGGGTACGGCGCATTCGTAGCCTGATGGACAGCACCTGAATCTGATCAGCAGGAGCTATGCCATCTTCAAGCAATCCTACTTACCAACTAGGCTGGTTGACATTGCTGCAGCTCACTGACGCGGATGAAGGACACCAGTTTGCATCTTGCGCTACGACTGATTGGCCTTCTGGGTTTACGATATATACGGCGCCGGAGAATGGCGCATTGTTCGAGATTTGCTGCGGTATAGCTTCAGGCTTTGCGATGGGTTCAGCGACACACAATGTTAACGTCGCGACGACCAGGCTCCATGGCGCAAAGGATATCATAGTGCTAGTAATCGCAAAGGCTGGCGGAAAGAGCTATCGGGTGCGACAAAGGTCTCCAGCGACGAACGACAGGGAACAGAGAAATATGCTGCTGGGTTAGTATTGCGACGAAAAGGCACAGCCTCAGAAAGACGAGAGATCAAAAATCAGCAGTCAGTCGGGCGCATACCGGGCTGCTACCCTGCCCTTAAGACTGACCGGATTACCTTGGAAGCTTCCTCTAGAGAGCTGGGATAGCTCCACAAGCTTGCTGCATGTTGGGCTAGCTCGTCATGGACAGCTTCATGCCGGCCTAGTGGGGAGGCGCACTATTGGTAGCCTCGACGGCACCGAGGTCTAGTTCGCGGTAAAGTGGTCCGACTTAGCTGCTTTTTGCAAAGGCTCACATTCGGGCATCATGGCAAAACGGCGGTGTTGAGGTGTGATGGGGCTGCAGTGGCCGGGTGGCCCTTGTGAACGATGCTTGCTGCCCATCTTCCGATCATGTTTGCTGGCAGTGGAGAGTAGGGCGAAGTTACTGGGCGTCAGCAGTGCGCAGCGAAAGCCTTGATTGCTTCCCTGCAATTGCACAAGCCACACTTCTTGGGAGCGGCTGCATCGGATGCCATCGCGTGTTGAGGTGCATGAGGATAGCTGCACATGCGCCGATCTTCCGACGGACTGAGATCGGCTTAGTCAGTCCTCTCATAAGCACGTGATCACGCAGTGGCGGCGATCTGTCGCGTCGCGTCTCTTGTGCTTTCATCCCACCTTGTGCATTGGTAACACAATATGACATGTCAACGCAGGCATCATCGCGTCCTTATCGGTTATACCCCGCATATTGTTTTAAAGCATCACCTACATACAATACATGGGTGAAGCTTACAGCTGCAGATGTGCAGGCTCTTCGTTCTGAGAAGGAGTTCCAAGGTAGTAGTAGTTCTGATCAGTGTCATAGCTGTTGCTGAGATACTTGAGCAGCGCAGCGCGGCCTGTACTTTCACCTCAACCACCCCATCCGATATGTCCGCATCGTCGGAGTTGTAGTAGCCATCGACGAGATTAATCTCAGATACACAGCTCTTACCATCGACGACGGAAGTGGCGCGACCATCGAGTTGAAGATCGTGCGAATACCCCCGGTCGAGCAAAACCCCGTAGACACGTCCTCGAACACAAAGGTCAGCAACCTGAACATCGTCAGCCGATTGGGCGTCTTCGAAGTCGTAGTAGACGATCAGCCACTAGACATAGGCTCTGTCGTCAAGGCAAAATGCACGATATCAGAGTTCAGAGGCAACAAGCAGCTGGAACTGCAGCGCATCTCAGTCATCACGACGACTGACGAAGAAGCACGAGCATGGGCTGAAACCGCTGCGTTTAAGCAGGCGGTCTTGTCGTGCCCATGGCATATCTCGTCAGCTGAGCACAAGCAGATTAAGCACAAGATAAAGACAGATGAGAAGAAGGAGCGGGAATATGCAAGGCGCAAGGCGGAGTACGAGGTCAAGAAGGAGGAACATAGACTGGCAAGGGAGGCATATTATGCGCAAAGAGAGAAGAAGCTTGAGGCGCGACGCCGAAAGGAGGAGGTCATGCTGAATTCTGGTGCTTTGATATGAGATGCAGAGTTCTTTCCTGATCGAGCTGCTGTCAGCACACCAACATTGCTGAATGGGTGCGGGGTTGTGGTGGCGCAGCACATGGGTTCAGCCTGATCGATCAGCTCAAGCTTACGGCACTACATACTTCCTTCCCCCTTGTGAGACGCGCAACGTCAACTGGTCTATTGCTCTCAATCTCTTCAACTATGGAACGATTCAGGAATCGTATACGCGCAAAGCATGACAACATTGTCGAGAGGATTCGCTTCTTGAGAGTTGGCCGACGTGGACATATCGACCAGGCTGAGACAACAGTCCCAATTCCTGACGCAGTCAATAAGTCGCCACAATACAACCGCTTGGCTCGAGATCGAACTATTCGAGTCCTCGATCTGGCTCCCGGCACATGGGACGAACCCGTCAACTGCTCCTTGAGAACAGTTCATCTGGACGATGACGACCCTCGCTACGAAGCGATCTCATACGCCTGGGGCGACCACAACGATCGGAAGCCAATAATTTGCAACGGATGCGCTATCACCACAACACGTAACCTGTTCGAGGCTCTACAGCGCTTCAGATACGTCGATACCACAAGGACGCTCTGGGCCGACGCACTGTGTATAAACCAAGCCGATGACGACGAAAAAACATTACAGGTGCGGCTGATGAGTTATATCTACACAAAAGCTGTTCGGGTACTTGTGTGGCTGCAACATGAGGATGATCAAGTAGTCCAAGATTCCTTGAATGCCATATGTCGACTTGTATGTGAAGAAGATGCCTTTAGCAGATTCGAATCGGTGAAAGGAACAGCACCCAATATATTATATCGATGGCTTGATGTAGATGTCACTACCGTCAGCCAAATGGAGCCTTCCGAACTTACCAATGTCGCTATCGATGCTCTGGAACTCGTCTGCCACTCACCTTGGTTTGGTCGGGGATGGGTAGTCCAGGAGGTGGCATTAAGCACTTCGACGTCAGTGTTTTGGGGTCACAGTGAAATCGACGTTGAGTGGCTGGCTATGGCAGCTTACTGTGTCAGCAGTAAACATAGTTTCAGAGTAAGCCAGGGGATAGTCAATTGCCAATTTCTTCATTTGGTGTGGAGGAAATCACGTAGGTCCTGGGGTCCAAGGCAATCTCTTATCGATCTCATTTACTCAACCAGCGACAAGGCGTTCAACGAGCCAAAGGACAGAATTTATGGTTTACTGGGGCTGAAGACACTTGAGTGCGACCTTGCAAATGGTCAGTCTTTCATTGACCCCGACTATAATATTACGACTATGGAATGCTATCGCAGGGTGGCAGCGAAACTGCTCTCCGAGTGGCACGACCTCAGGGTACTTTCTTGGACGCGCCCCGTTCCAGAGTCAGCTAAAGACTGGCCATCGTGGGTGCCAGATTGGAGCGGAGACCCCGATCCAGCGTTGGCAGACCTTATAGATGAGGAACGCCAGGAAAAGAATACTTCGGGTCTTGTTCAAATATCAGAAACGGTCTTCGGTAAGACTCAGTGCATTGAAATCACAGGTTTCAGAGTCGGTACGATAAACCGGGAAATCAAGGAATACGCCAACTTAGCAGACTATCAGGACGATCCTTGTCTATTCGAAGGACTGCAAGCCTTGCTCCGCCATCTGGAGCACATGTACAGCCAGCAGTGTCTTGCCTTCACCTTTGGCAACGCCCTAAGGGGTCGACCACTAAACTCTACCCGTATCGCAAATCGTCTTAGTGAATATAGTGCATTCATGGAGAGAGATTGTGTCCTAGATATCTATTCGCCGCCTGCAGGAGCATGGTCGGATGATCGCTCCGATCGCTTCGTACCGAGCGCGGATATGTTCGCTTTCGACTGCGATCTTGTGATAAAAGATCATCGCCTTTTTGTTACTAGCACGGAAATGTTAGGCATTGGTCCTCGAGCAATGATACCGGGCGACGTCGTGGTCGTGTTACACGGTGGCCAGGTACCTTTCGTCCTCAGGCCTGCGGACAACGGCCTCTGGAGGCTTGTAGGCGAATGCTACCTCTACGACGTCAACGAAGGTCGTGTTCACCGAGAATGGGAAGAGAAAGGCAGCGTGTCTGAGAAGTTCACTATCTGCTGAATCGTCGATACGTCAAGTACCGGATGGTCGCCCTACTTTCCGATCGCATCGACGCCTTCCAGCTTGGCTACCCGCGTATGCGTCGGGAAGTCCAGTCGACGCCTTACAATAGGCAAACGATGCGCAATTGTTTACGAACGAACGATTTCATCGACCCGAAGTCGACTTCTTCAAGCCGTGGATGATGGGCACGACCAGTAGTTCCGGTTCAAGGAGAGACCAGCTGGCCTATCGAATGGCACTCGCTTTGTATGTTGATCTGTCACCGTCCTCGAGTCAATCCCTACTCCTTGGCTGCATGTGTTGTGTCACATTAAAGACTGTGATTTTGAGAGAATGCGACATTGTTGCGAACCAAAGAGTTCGCTCGGTATTTTCATCAAACGAAGCAGCAGACTTTAAGAGATGATCCACCATGTTCCAAGATTGCTTCTTCGGGCTCTGGAGATCGATGACAGCATGCGGAAAGCAAGGCAAACTGCGAATGACTATTAACAGCAAACACGAATGTCCTTGAGAGCCACGTACATCATCCAGATCTAGCACCGCACAAGCTTTCCATCTTTGAACCATGAGCGACACCAGAGCCGAATCGCTTACCAAGAAACTCAGGAAGGAGTTTGGTTACGTACCATCATGGAAAGTCTCGACAACACAACAATCTCTTGACGCCCACAATTCACACTGGCAAATCAAGCGATTTTATTGTGGGTGGGCCGACGACCACAACAAGTTCCGCCCACTTGCTAAGATGGTACATCGAGCATGCAAGAAGGAAATTGGCGAGCTTCCAGAAGTCACAGAAGACGTGATCAGGAAATGGATTTTGGTGGGTATCTTGACTGACACTGAGATCAAGGCAAAATATCAGTTGCTTTATGACGAGGCGAATCCCAATATGCGCAAAGCGAAGAAGCTATTAGCCGAGTTGAGGCGGGACGAAGGAGGCTGCATCACAGTCGGTGAAGTGCAGGTATTGAGGTGGTTTAAGAGGGGGTTCGACAAGGAAGCTATCGTGCCTAAATACAAGAACCGCATTAAAGAGGCAGCGCTTTTCAATCGCGCGGAAGCCTTCCGGTATCGCTTACAAGAGGAGCTCGAGTCTACTGAGGTGGCATCAATTCCTGAACTACTCGGTCGTTTCCGTGAGGATCTCGATGATAACGCAATCATTCGTCACTACCAGGACATGATATTCCAAGCCCTTGACGAAGGTGTTGCACCGGCGGCAGTCTCATAGCCTGCTGGCGCAGCGAAGTGAACATACCTGGTGCGGATAAACGCGTCTCGATAGAACATGTTTCATTTACCATGGAAGTGAATGTAAGGCAGTAAACATTGCATCCAATTCACTTGAGAAAAATATACCCTGATCAGGCTAGCGGCAGAGATCAACCGCTTTCCCAATCCGCGCCCACACATATCCCACGAAAACTCCCCCAATTATTTGGCAGAAAGTGTCTCTATATCACACTTCTTGATCAGAATTATACACTTGCTTGAAGGCGACAGGTATATCCGTGAATCCCCCCACGCCGAAGTTCCAACCTCAAAATCAGACTGCGACTCTCGCGCTCGATCCTTTCCACAACTCCACACTACCACAAGACAAGGCCATAATGGCGAAGAACGGCAAAGATCCTGCGACGTCTCAGCTAACACGCATCCCGCTGGGTGACTGGAGCCGTACCGAGTATCTTTACATCTAACTGCAGAGTGAACTGCTCCTTGCCGTTGCGTGTCTGCCTGTCACCCCCTGCCATATCATCGATGACGCGGCTCAGTTTATTGGTTACCGCAATTACTTTAGGTCCATCGACGCTGTGACCGGTGATTCACCGGACGAGGCAGGTAGTGGTGTTGTGAAAGGCACCCAGGCCTTTTTCGACAAGCGCGACGAGCTATCTGGATTCGTCTTGTGGGCCCTTCGACAGACGAGTTTGGCAGTGGTCAACAAAGACTCTGTACCGAGGTTCGAGAGCGTCAACATTAGGCCTGATATGTTGAAAGGTTATCGTCAGATCCGTGAACGTCTCGGCTTCGACACATATTTACATGACCCCAAGTTGCTGCGCGAACTCTGGACATTCCTCCAAGACGCCGCTCGCAACCAGTTTCCCGAGTTTAGCGGAGATGCTACCCAAGCTGGTTCCACACAAGGTGTCGGTAACAATGGCGACGTGGACGTCGACATGGATTCCAATACCATCGTCGCACCCAGACCTGTCAACGACACAGCAGCCACATCGGACCACAGTCCAGCAGACAGGGATGAAATGCATGGTGCCGATGCTGACGCTGATGAGGAAGAAGACGCCGAAGGTGCCGAAGACAACACCGAAGACGACGAAGACGATGAGGACTCGGGAGCGGCCCAGCCAGCAGCCCAGCCAGTGACCCGCAAAAGCCCAGATGACTTTGCACTAGAGACGGGAACTGTCCGGTGCACGGCGTGGTCGAAGGAGACAGACTCGCGATGCAAGCGACATGCAGACAACGAGAACGAAGACCGCCGGACGTGGAGATGTCACAACCATGATCCGGTGAGGAAGGCCAAAATAAAGGCTGATCGTCTGGCGAGGAACCGCGCGGCGAAGACGGGAAAGAAAGGAAAGATGGCAAAGAACGCTGGAGTTGCGAAGCCAAATCAGAAGAAAGCGGGCAAGAAAGCAGCAAAGTGAGAGCATACGAGAGCAGGCGCGAAATGCACTTGCTTGGGAGGCTGACAGTGGTGGATGAAGGAGAAATATTTCAGCCATGCAACAAGCTTTCAAAGTGAGCGTCTTGGAAGGATGTACGACATGTGTAGGTAGAGCTAGCTTTCGAGCTACTTTGCACAGGTTAGGACGGAAAAGTTTTTGAAGAAGACAAATTTGGCCGGATGATATAATGAACAGGAAAGACATGGGCAGTGCCTGAATACTGGAGTAAGGCATTGCGGACATGATTTAGCGAGGTGTTCATGGTGCATCAGGTGTTTGCGGAAGGTATTCCAAGGTTACTGTGTTAACCAGCTTACTGTTCCAGTAGCAGACCCTGTATCATAGCTTAATGAATTTAATGACTTTTTTCTCATCAAATCTTTTGCTTGCTTGTCTGTGTGTGTATGGAGTTATTGTTGTTCGTCCAGGTGTGTGAAGTTGCTTTTGCGCACTGTGTTCGGACGCGGAAACGAAAGGCTGAGAAGAGATGACGTTGACGTTTGTAGAACGCTATGACATCATCCCGTGTTGCGGACGCGTCAAGCTATCAGCTATCGCACTGCGCGTACCAAACATCCAGAAGCTTACAAGTGGTTCAGACGGGCTTAGACGTGGCGTTCTCTGTACTTTTGTACGAAGATCTGATTCTCGCAGGTGCGATGCGACAGCAACTTTGATCCGACCCTGCAACGCCGGCAGACACAACATACAACTTCACAATGCTTGGAAGCAAACTGCCAGGATTCCCGATACACCAAGTCGTGCAGCTCTAACAGGACGTTGAGTCTGTTGACTTTTGTGGTACCTGTGATAGATGTGTCTATCCATCGGAGACGATGCTCTAGTCTTAGTTCAGAAGCAACCAGATTCTTTCTGTATTTCTGCTTTTGAACGACTGCACGCAGATTGTACTGTAACACAAGAGGAAGCAAAGATGAGCGTTCAATTGTATCGAGGCGCAGTCGACGTGAGGCCCGGTACAAACCAGCGTACTGGTGCTATTGGGGCGAGGGAAGGCTAAGCGCGGCCAGTCTTGCTTGCTTGTATGCGTAAGATTCAGGGTTATGGCCACCGTGTTGGCATCAGGTTATCAAGCTACCATGGTACCGTCAACTCCTTTACCGAAAGTACCCTTCGTCCTCGTTAGTCTCCTAATTATCCGCAAACTAACACCTTCTCTCCTCAGATACGTTTTTTTCACATCGTCTCGCAAACTCACCAGCTTCACATCGATTCAGTTACCAATAAAGTAAATGCGCGGAAACCCCCACTCACCTACCGGCAATCCGGAGCTATGATGGACATGGAATGGGAACGAGTTTCATGGCGTCGCTACGCGGCGCACTTCTCGCTGTGCGTATTGACAGTCTACATCTCCAATCTCATTACAGAAGCACCTTTCCCTACAGCCATGATCTGGGGCAGCGCGCCTTATATCGGTCTCATCGTTTCGCTCGCTACCCAGTTTGGGCCACCAGGTGTTCCCGCGTCGCAGATGTATTGCCCCATCACAGCTGTCATGCTATTGTATCTTGACAAAGCTGCGACCGCTCTCGGCAAGGCCGCCGAACCAAGTTTTGACAACACTGGAATTCAACATCATGCAGTCCACTTCGCGCTTGCTTTCTTCGTTCTGTCGGAGCTGGAGTACCGTCGGCAATATATTGTGGCGAAAGGCATGGAGCACTTTCGTAACTACCCATTGGACTTGTTGCTTGCCGACATTGATCTCACCTTCAATGTCTCTCGCCATCCAAGTGTATACTGTTATGCGACATCTTACACCAAAACGGGTGGATTTAAAGGAGGGCCCTGACTAGGCTCGCTCTTTATGGTCCTGGATTTTTATTCATTTTCTTTGATTGGTGGCTGCTTCAACTATGGGATCATGCTCATGGTCAACCAAGGCCATAACATGTTTTACAAGCGAGTGACGCGTACAAGCGAGTGACGCACCCCACCAACTTTGCGCACCTCACCTATCTCAATCTACAATGGCTCTACGCAACGTTACTCAATTACTCTCAAATGAAGCTGATGTTCAGCTTGCTATCTTATCTATTAATGCTCAACAAATCCAGGGCAATCGTCCTGCTGCAGCGATCTACAACGTAGCTGAAGCGACGCTCCGCCGCCGACGCGC